CTTAAACATATTTTTCCTAAACATAGAACAGTAAATAAAGAAGTAAATCAAACAATTATCTCTTCTAGTTACGACCATTGTACTCAGTTGCTGCTTGACGTAGGTTGTTAAGCCTTTAAAAATTTTGCACATGGAGGATATGAAACAAAATATTTTCTTTTAAGTTTTATACATATATTTCAATAGCTAAAAAAATCATAAATTACTACACTAATACCATAGAATTCCACTATAATCTATAAAGTTTAGTAACTAAGATATATTTTAGTCTAAACAAATATGAAATTTCGAGCACCCTAAAGACACACCCTACCTTATTGAAATATTTGTTTAAAAGAAAGAAATGATGCCAAGTCCATTAAAATAGCTGAGAAAGCCACTAGTAGAACATTGGTTATTAATGTCATGTATAGAAGTAAGTGTATATAAGGGAGCATTTACAAAAATGGAAAGAGGTGGGCGGGGTGCCACTGTGTTTGATTCATTACATGAGCAATATCTTAGCAAGTTGAAAAGATAAGAGACTCTTATTTCATATTCTAGCTTGTCAATATTGGTAATTTGAGTTCCTAATTTGTTCAAAACTATATAATTAGTATTTTGATTTCACAAACATCTAATTTGAACCAGTGCTGCATTCAACATACCATGTGACACACAAAAATTGATGTTTATATGCGTTTTTAATATTTACTTTTAAATTAAGAAATTGAGTAATACATAGTACTAAAATTTGAATTACATTCTACAATTATCAAACTGATAATTGATACCAAACTTATTGACATAAATTCATGAAACAGTAATTCAATAAAATTTCGAATGCGAGTCAACAAACGAGATGACATGGCCTTTCACTAGTGACCCGTCTCGAAAGGGTTAATATAGTATGTGTATCTTTATGAAATTTGGCACACTTTCAATAAACATTAGAAGTCTTTTTAATACACAAATAAATAACAACATATTTTTCAATCAAGTACTTTCACTAAAGATTTGTCCGTGAATATTTGGACTGTTCCAAGTGTAAACTGATTTTCATGTTAAGATTAAGAATAATTTTTTTTATTGAAAAATTTAAAATATCATTTATATAATCTCTAAAACCTCCTAAATACATATCAAACTTTTTTTTTAGTTAAACTTTATATTTTATCTGTTATTTTCTCTACCCTAACTCTGTATGGACTCGGTCAATTTGACCAACCTCATAACCACTGCATATTGTAACAGGAAACATCTTCACCTTGTGACCCTTATTCTCTCACAGCATACCTATAGATGTGATAGGCCTAATGTTTAATATGCTAGAGTGAAACTAACAATATAAAAAAAAGAGAAGGATAATTTTATTCCATCAAAGTGTGGTTCTAAAGTAATTGAATCAGCTTGGGTATACTTTGACAAAACGAACAGAGGATCTTCAGAAGAAAGAACACCAAACGAATAATGGTAACTTGCGCCACAACTGTAAGTGAATCACAGAGAGAATACTAGTATGATAGTAATATAGGAAAGATAGTTTGACTTGTCAACTGAAATTCTAAAGTAATTGAATAGGCTTGAGTGGACTTTCGACAAGAAGAAGAGAACTATATATAAATAGTGTTTATGATATGCCTGTAAGTGTGAAGACTTTGTTGTACATACGTTTAACTTGTTCTGAATATATATATATTTATATATTATTTGAAAACATGTAAAGTGTGTGCTGTTTATTCGTCATTGAATTTATCGCTAACAAGTCACAGACACTTACTGTAGAAGAAACCTAAGCCCAACAACAACACAGTAAACACAGTATATATTTATACTGTTAAGAAATAAAAGTAAAAGCCATTTATTTCGACAATTGGCAAAAAGAAGAACTAGTATGTATATATTTTTAAAATCTGACAACTACTATTATACAATATCTGTAAAGCTAGTGACAGCAGAAACTATGTGGTAGACTACAATTACACATTTACAGAACAACAGAGAGTTAAGAGCTTAATGTATTTGCTAATCTAAATACAATCAGAAGATTATTGTTGATAGAAAAGTGGTCTGAGTGGTGTTACTTTTAATTTCTCGGCAATCAGGAAATTAAAAAAATTCTACTGTTTACGATTGCTGAACCGATTATCGGTAAAACACTGCATAATATAAAATAATAATGCAATTCTCATTATGGTTTTCCTGATACATTTTCCAAATCTACTTCATTACTTAATTTCACCAGGCATTTCAAGAATGACTAGCCATAGGCTCCTACCATCCCTGGTGTTAACTCTTTCAGCACGGGCTCTGTCCTAGGGACTGACCTCGAAACCATTTTTGTGCTTGTTATAGTTTTCATGTTATAACTTTTAAATTAGTAAGTTAACGACATTTGGCAGATTATCAGTAAACACTATAATGATCTCATATGCAAAATATCAATTGTCTTATATTAAGTCTTAAGGTTTGTTAAGCCATGTTTTTCTCATGCCTTTTTTTTTTTCTTTTCGCATGTTGCCTATCCAACATGCAAAGTAATTTTCATTTTAAGATAAAAAATACTTTTCTGCATCAGAAAATTTCCAAATTTCACATTTATCTGTTATTTTCAGTAACAAATCTTTGTACTGTTTCGGTAGATTTGACCGATCTCGTAACCACATTAAAAAATTAGGAAATAAAATGAGTAATGCCTTTTTCATTCTAGAATGACTACAAATTATAACAC